TGTGTGTGTGTTTCTCTGTCAGAGGATTTTTACTCAGCAACCATACAAGTACTGATGTTGAAATTTTGCCAATGTGTTCCCTGGCTAACTGCTATCCCAGGGACGTGATGTCAACTGTCACGCACGAGCACGTGAAAGTTTTGGCGCGAAAATTGCTAACCAGGGGCAAGGGAAGCTAGAAAGCTGAAACTTTAGGGGAATGTTCATTATTAATATACGGCCAAAACGTTTCAAATTCATCTCCTTAGAACCGTCCGGTCTCACATATGAATAAATGAATGCTTTGGCGCGAAAATTGCCAACTCGAGGACGAAAAAAAGCTAAGCTGTAATTTTAAAGGAGTGTTTCCTATTCATGTGCGACTAAAAGATTTCAAATCCAGTTCTTTTTGTGAGGTCTTTTTTTGCGCACTAGCTTTTTATTTGTCCGATCAGTGAAGCCGACACTGACATAATGACACACCACACAGCTGCACAATTAACTCCCTGAACTTCGAGGGCCAGTATTTCACAAATTCTAGATACTGGGATGCACAAGATAGTGCAAAAAGCATGAACGCAGCAGCTCGCTTGGTGTGTATTGCCAATGATTGCGTCTGCAAATAGCGAAAACGCATAACAGTAGCCAACTGAAATAAATGGCTGCAAAACTGAACTTTCAAAAGGGAGCTGCCAAAGAAAGTTGCATTCGTAACCAAATCGACAACAGTTCTTTCATCTTCCTTCCTGGCCTATCTCCCCGACAGTACACTGCTCACAGTTACCGATAATTTGAATTGAGGGATCACTCTGAGGTTCGAACAAGAATGCAGCTCATACACCACAGCCATTAGGGGAAAATATTTCAAGCCAAGTTATAGTCCACAAAAATTCTTGTTCAAAGTTTATAACAAATAATTGGCCAACGCACGGGTTGCCCGTGCGAAGATGCGTTTTTTGCATAGTTTCCCGCAGTTTTTATTGCTACCGGCATCGGTTTTTTCGGCAAATGCTTCTAGCTGAACAAACTGAAATTGGCCGCCAGAACTGGCAGGAAACGGCCCCTTCAAATTCCAGCTTTCTAGCTTTCCTGGCTCCTGAGTTATCACCTACTTGGATGGGGAACATTCCCCTAAGATTTCAGCTCTTTAGCTTCCTAGATCCCCGAGTTATGAACTTACCCCAAAAAAATTTTGGCGGGCCCGTGTGCGGGTACCACACTTATCCGGGGCATGGATTTCAGTGCACTAACACCCAGTTGGACGGGAAACATTGCCCTAAGGTTTCAGCTTTCTAGCTTCTCAAATCCCCGAGTTTCTAGCTTTCCTGGCTCCTGAGTTATCACCTACTTAACCGAAAAAAATTTTGGCGGGCCCGTACGCGAGTACCAAGCGGGTGATGGCGCCAATTTTGGGGATTGGGGCCGGCACGTGTATGTCGATTAAGATCTCGAAATTTCAGCCCTGCAGCTTGTATAGGTCAAGAGATGAAAGTGCGTGATAGACGCACACACAGACAAACAGACGCACAGACACACGGACACACAAACAACTCCTCGTCAGTATGCGTTTTTGCACTGCACAGCTGCAAAAAACGCATAATAAGATAAAGAATCACTTAAAAAACTTGCTGGGAAAGCTAAGCACATCGAGCGCAAAAAATCTGAAGGCTACTAAGAACATCAAGCATTACACTGATCCCAGGCTCAAGTCGCATTTTCAATTATTATAAATCCCACAGTTTCTCCGCTGGATGCTAAAGTTTCATTAGAAAAAACATGTAACAGTGCCGCGCAGCACATAAAAAGGGATTGATTTTCATTGACCCGTTTTTACAAAAATAAGAGTAATGAAAAGGTGCAAATACACCACAAAGATGTAAAATGGGAATAAAAATAGATATTGAAAGTTGGGAAGTGTGGGAGGACCAGTGGCGGACTGGATTAACAGCACTCCTTTTGGCATTCATACCAAAGATAATTCTTTAGGAAGCAAGGGCAAAACTATCTGGAAAATATCAATATTCATTAGCATTGCAGCTCCATCTTTTTTAGCCAATTTCTAGATTTCTGGAGCAAATTTACCAGCATTTGGACAACAAGCAGTGCACGTTGCTCTCCAGGTATCTGCGAAAACTACATACAAACATATATACGAACGTAAATGTGCACTTTTAATAATAAGCCTACGTAATATTGATATAATAATAAAACACTATAAGTAGGAAGTCTTATCCTCTGCTTAGCTCCACAAAGCCAATAACTTGAAGCCAAGCCTGCGGGCATATACACATATATCCGTAAGTACATGAAAAGGTGGAGTGAATTCGTAGAATCGGCTTACAGGACTTTTGTGAATTTCATAAATTCACTAGGGTCTGTGAGAGTTAAATGCAGAAAGGAAAGTAGTTTAAGCAGGGTTACTGCTAAAGCAATGAAATTAATAGCAAGGTGGGACAAACTGTCCGTACTCAGGAAGCTGAATGTGCATGGCAGTGCAAGGGTTCTGAAGCATGCCAGTAACAGATATGAAGTATGAGAATAACTTCACTGAATACGACTACCAGCCATCAAAAATCAAGTGACGAAATGCATCGAGCGAACACATTCCATAAAACAACAAATTGTATTTTTGGAGTTAGACAATGCGCCATTTCAGCAAGTAACCCTGAATTTTGTGTTAAGCTGCTCACTGTGAGAGGCAAACTCGGAAAAACCTCACCGAACTGGTTAAAATATAATGGCAGGCCGCACATTCACTTTGAATAAATTTTGAAAAATTTAGCTCATTTGAAATGGAGCAGTAGAAATGTACTTACCCTGGATGTCCAGCTACTAGCACGTGGGGCACGACATAATTCCTGCAAATTGACGCTACCAGCACATGGACCAGCTGGAAGCCTCATCAGATGACAGCCAGTCGTCGAGCCGTATTTAGAATCGCTCAGGCTACGATGAATCCGATGCTGTTGCTTGGCTGATCCGCGAAATCCACGATACGGTGGCGGTGGTGGTAAGAAGGAACAGCTCGACCCACTGCTTAATGTGCTCGAGAAGCCCGAATCGCTGTAGTGCGTCACATACGGCAGTAACGGGCGCGATACAGCCGTGGACGACGATGCTGTACTCCTTCAAGCACGCACAAACAGATCTTTGCTTTAAGATGCCAAAATTGATGTTTATAACTCAGCAAATGCTGAATTGTTATAAAGTGAATAGGTGTACTCACATATCTGCACACACAAAATTCAGCCCAGTACCACGTTAAGCACGTATGTAAAACCGGCCCCCAAAATCGGAATTTGAGTTTCAGGAACCTCTACAAGGTCTATCTTTGGAACGTAGGATCTTAATCTAAAAGGACCTATGCTGCAACCATGCAGCAATATAAGTTGAGTCATGTGGTGCGGAAGCAGCAGTGGAACTTATCAACAGGTTTATACCATTTTTCTTTTAATTTTGCTTCCAATAACGTAAGGTAGTAACTGGATGCGGGGAGCGGAGTTGGGATGGAGAATAGCAACAGCAGCGACACGACAGAACTGTCATTTTTTTTTTCCAACAAAAATCAGTTTATAGCTCGAATCCGAGTAAATCCGAACTA